CTTGCTGAGTTGTGCTCGCTTCCAGCAGGGAAAGGGGGTGGCCATGGAGTGGGGGGAGGCTCTTGGACAGAGCAGCTCTAAGAAAACTGAACAACTGGAGGCAGCTGGCTGCAATTTTTCAGATCCTCAGGAAAGTATGATTTTGTGTTGAGCAGCTGCCACAGGCACTTAAGAGGGAGCTGTTACCAACAGTAATGACTGAGGGATTAATATTAGAAAGCAGATGTGTCAGACTATGGACTCTGTTTAAAGATGTGCTCCCTGTCAGTGAGACCTTGCTGAAGGGCTCTTGGCAGCTGTCTAGCCCTGCAGGATCTCTGAATCTCAATGAGATACCATGTGTGAAAGAAAAGAGAGTTAGTGTTGAAATTATCAGAATTGGAACACTTAAGCCAAAGCTGCTGGAGCTAAAAGATTTTTATATTTTCTCCGTGGTTTTGCTCTGTGAGCGACTCATTAAGAAATGACCACAAGAGAAAGAAAACGGAGCAAGAGTGAGTAAGAAACATTATTTGGACAGAGGGAAATATTAGGAAGGAAAGTAGAGATACTGTGGTGATGAGGTGAATGTGCTTTGAGGGGGCTTGGGTCTTTGAACCTGGGAGAGAATCCATGACTGGACTCTACAAAAAAAGATTATTAATCTTCTCTCAGTAAAATAAGAGTGAGATCAGAATAAAGAAAACTGTAAGGTACAATCGCAGAAGTATAAAAGCCAAGGAGTGGGGCAGGAGTTCAGGCTGAGGGAATCCCAGGAGAAAAAGCACCAAGCCCTGTGATCTCTGGCAAAACTTGCTATTATGAATATGGGACAACATCTTCTGACTACTCTCTTCCTAAGAACTGTGCCTGGTGAGGGAATTCAGATGGGAAAGGAATTGTCTGAGCATGTCTGGGATGTCTGCTTAGTGCTTTTGGGATCGAATTCCCTCCACATCAGAAGAAGGCTTTGTGATTACAAACTCTTCCACAGGCAGAACTTAAAAATTTTTAACAAAAAAATAAAATATTTAGTAATATTAGAACATTCAGTAATAAAAATCACCATTAAAGTTACCAGGCTTTATGCATGTAGCTACTATTGAATGGAAGACAGAAGCAAATGGAAACTAGATGCTAACTGAAACAATTGTATTGTGTTAAAGAAGTTACTAATGAATATTATTGAAACTTTTCTTATAAGACATTCAACATTCTCACGACTCTGAAAAATTCCTCTGTTTTTCACCTGATTGCCCATTCAATGGGAAGTGATTCCACTGCCAGTTTTCCAATTTGCCATCCTAATAAAGTCACTTACCACAGGGTTTAGCCCTCAGCTTCTTTTTAGTTTGCTTTGCTTAGTTTAATGAGTGGTCATCTAGGCCACCACCGAGTTCAGATCAACAGTGCAGGAAACAGAAGGCTTGAAAGTGTTCAGCCAAAGCAGAGACCAACAGATCAGATAGCACTTAACCAGGACTCCCTGAATTACTGTCTGTTGCTTCTGGCACAGAGTATTGCCTGGGACTGCACATGGAGCTTACTAGTTAAGCAACATTATTTACGAAAACTTTGCAGACCTTTTAAGCCTTTGGCATCTTAGTGATCTAGAGGCATAGAGTTATAAGGATTTCCATGGACATTTCAGTCTATGGAATTTCTTCAGAAGTTATCAAACAGAAGTAAAATTTTTGCTAGTGTGCTCTGTAATCTGAGTAATTACAGAGGGTTTAGCTGGAGACAGCCAAAATCCTTGATTTTATTGTCTGTATGGTTCCCCATTTTTCATCATCCATCAGGAGTAGCTTTAGTACCAAGAAGGGGAAGCAGAATCAGGACTCAAGGTGTAGAAAAGTTGGGATTGACCACAATAGCACATTTTGGTTCTTGCTGACCTAGCTGTAGCTTGAGATAAAACTAACATTGGTGGGTAAGGCACAAAAAGTAAGACGCGTTAAAAAAAAAAAAAAAAAGTATCTGGTCACTTCAAGATTTATATAATTTCTTCTGTCACTGCTATTATGTTCCACATTTCCCTTGATTTACACCAACACGAGAGAAAGTTCACATATTCTGTCTCTTGCTTTGTGGACTTCTCTTAATGTACAAATGACATCTGCTCAAGTTGGTGCAACTTTTCTTAAAGGTTTGGAGAACAGAGTCTGGAGAGTTGACACTGCACTGAACAGGACGTGTTTTCTCTTCCAGTTATTCTGGAACTTGGATTAGAATGGACCCAGACTTTCCTGTGTCACCAAAAGCTCTTAGTGTCAATGCCGCGCCTTGTAAAATATGAAATGATCCAGCAACAGCTCCCCGGGTGTGATTGTGGTGGGGGGAGGAGAGTTATGCCTCAGATATATTTATTTAGTTTCAACTTGAGTGTGCCATGATGAAATCATCTGCTAGGTATTCCCCTGTGTCAGCATGGACACCAAGGAGATGAAAATAACTGGTTTCAAAGTAGATGCTTTTTTTGGTCATGATGGTCCTTCATTCCCTAGGAGATGACTTTGCCTGTGTACATTGTTCTGGGATTTGGCTTGACAGCAGAGCTGTAGCTTCCAGTGACTGTGGCTTTGGGAGTCCTGTAGTTAAAACAGTTGGAGATGTTTCCACTTGATGTGAAGCCTGCTGCCTCATGTGAGATCTGCAGCTCCCGGTGCAGGTGGTATGATGAATACCGTTGCTGTCACACCTTGGGTTTCATTCTGAACCCTCCATTTTTCAGCCTGTCATCACAAGATAAAACCAGCCTGGGCCTTGTGTTTGTGGATATTCTAATGTGTGTTAACTATGGAGGGTTTATAGAGCTTCCAGGGACCTGGGGTGGTTGGGGATATAGGAAAGGAGGATTTGGAACAGGTAACTTCTCTTTCCCTGTCATTGTCTCCCTGTGGAAAGCTTATTCCTCTACACTGATTCCCCAGCAGGACAATCCTTTAAATATCCATGCAGTTTTTTATTAGCATCTGTCAGTGAAAGGGGGACTGCTTGGCAAGGGAAGCAACTCTTACCCTTCATTTCAGGGTCTCTTAAAGTCGCATTGCCTGCCTTGGTGCCATTCACAGTGTGTGTGGGATGTCTGTCCAAGTGGTAAAAAGCCAAGTGTGAGCTCCCCTCTCTGCCCCTCTCACCTCCCATTTTATAATTTCTTTCCATGTTCATTAAAGCTTTGAAAGTGTATGCCATGCATCAAAGGGGTTGAAATAATCTCATGTAGGTGCTGAAATGGATGGATGGGCAGTGGTAGGCCATTCCAGTGATTTGTGTTTCAAGCACTCTCACAGGAAATAAGTAATATACTGGGTTTTCTAAATGCCTTTGTGAACCATTTGTTAAAACACAGTACACTGTGTCTAAGTATTTGTCTGATATAGACAATATATTGAAATTAGTCAAAGGCACAGTATTGTCTTACTCGTTTCCTTAGCTTTTGGTGGGTTTTGGAGATGTAAAATATGTATCTGCTGCCGTCTAAAGTAATTAAGGAGCAGCAAGACCTTCTGTGAACCAGTGTTGTCAAATCTTTACAATTTCAGGTTTTGAAATGTTTTAAGTTCTTGAACGATTTCAGCTTTTATTAAAAAGAAAAATCTGGTCATTATGGTCTTGGAGAAGATTTTAAAAATACAGAATCCAAAGAGATAAGAAACTAAAAAAAGACTTGAAAAAAGTTTGTAAGAAAAGTTTCTGGAGCTATGGGCCCTGAATTTTTGAAGTTATAACTAGTTTTTGACAAATACCATTCCTAAATTTCTCTTCTGTTCCCCTTTATATTTTCACTGTGATATTTCTGAGCTAGAGAGTTATGTCAGACCTCTCTCCTTACTCATATTCAGTGCAGGTTTAATGATTTGCTCTTGGGAAAAACCTCCTTATTCTGATTTTCTTGCTGCCCAGCTCAATGTGGTGATAGAGAAGGAAGTTTTGAACTCTGACTGGATTTTCAAATGCTGGCTTGTGAACATTCTTTGTAGCCCAGATAACAAAGCTATTAAAATGATAAACAAGCAGCTTTTGGATTAAGGGAGGAGAATGATCTGTGTCTTTAGAAGCCATTTGTCTCCTGCTTGGTTGACTGAAAATGCCTGTGTGGTCTGAAGTCAATTTCTCAATGAGTGTTTCAGCAGCTCCACTAAAAGGCTTCAGCCTCTCCTGTAGGCATTTATAAGTAGACTATAATTTATTGTAGTTTTCAAGAGCTAGCAGCTGCCTGCTTAGGTTCAATGAGAAACCAATTTCTGCTCCTGCCCAGTGGCAAATCTAATAGCCTGAGGCTAGTAAGTGATGAGGGGGCAGAGAGGCAGAGGAAACTGAAGGAATTTGCCCAAAGTCGTTCTGAGGATGAGCCGGAACAACAGGCTAAGCACCTTGGTTCTTGACCTGCAACCTGGTACTGTCATCCCTGTACTCATGGTGCCTTCTGCTCCTGCCAGGATATGGTGCTGGGATTTGGAAGACACTGCATTAAACTGTTTGGCTCCAGGGATGGCTTTTTAAAAGCACAGCTGATCCTTGAGAAGAAATGTCAGTGTTAGAAGTGACACCAACTACTAACTCTGATCCAGTGAAACAGTACCTAAGAAAATTATAACCCTAGTGATCAGTGATGACTGGATAATTCATCACTGCTTTATTTTGCATAGTCTTTCACACTGAAATCCCTCTATGTGTGCTTCAGAAAGTTAAATAATAGTTACACGGATAATGACAGTGCAGGGAGAAAGAAATAAAGGAGATAAAGACACGAGAAGACTCCTCAGAAAGAACTGGGAAGTGACAGAGTTAATGAATTGAAGAGAGATTGGAGCAGGCTGTTTATCAGAAGGATTCGTAGAAAATGTTTTCATCTCAACATAAAAACCCAACATGTGGTTGAGTTATCGTTTAAGATAAACTTGAAGTAATACCCTTCCTAACTGAGATTTTCTGAAACTTTATTTTTGCTTTAGTGCCTCCTTTTTCCTAGCGAGGAAGGTTTCTAACTGCCCGGTGGGATGTGCTTGCCATTGCAGGTTCTGAGTCTGCTCCTCCACGTGGCACCTTGGAGTTTCTAGCTGGCACCATTACCTCCAACGAGTGGAGTTCTCCCACCTCCCCTGAGGGGAGCAACGACTCGGGGGGCAGCGAGGCCTTGGACAAACCCATCGACAATGATGCCGAGGGCGTGTGGAGTCCGGACATCGAGCAGAGCTTCCAGGAAGCGCTAGCCATCTACCCGCCATGCGGCCGCCGCAAGATTATCTTGTCAGACGAAGGCAAGATGTATGGTAAGGACAGGGATAGGTCCAGGCAGCCTGCCCTGTGCCCCAAGGGATGCTCTCAGTGAATTCCCTTCTCTCGGGTGTTCCCAGGCTGGTGCTGTTGGTTGCATCGAGTTGTATTTAGGAAAATTGGTGTGAAGATCTTGTCATTCACAAACAGAGAAGAAAGATTTATAGGTATCTTTTTCAGGGGACTATCCATAAGGTAGATCTCAGAGTTGAGCATGCTCCCGAACTAATCTTCATATATAAATATATATATATATATATATCTATATATATATGTATATAATCTAATGGCTTCATGGTGTGACAAAACCTATATTTTATAGTATCTCTTGCTGCTGTCTTCACTGCTCTCGCTGGAGGTAAGAACAGGTAATGGTCTGCGTGTCTGGTGCTACAGGACAGAAGTTCAGCTCCTGACCCCTTGAATGGCTCTGCTGCGCTGCAAACACCTACACTTTGTTAACCAGCTTCACTTTTCAGATCTTAAAGGCAGAAAGTTGTGTGTACTCCTCTTCATTGTAGTTTGCCTTCTCATAGCCCTGGCACAAGTATATTGCACCTGTGGGTTCTTCTCATCTAGCTAACTAGATACCTGTCCCTGAACACAGAGAGGCTCTGGCTTGCAGCTGCAGCAGAAGTCAAATTTATACGTGGCACACGTGCTTTTGAATTGGGTTTTTGACCTTTTCCACAGTTAAAATTTCTTTTCATTTTGTTAATGAAAGCTGGCCTGGCTTGGATTCTGTAGCTGAGTATTGCAAGAAGCCATCTGGTACTTCTGTGACTAAAATGCAAAGCAAAGGCTGAATACCCAGTATTTGGTTTTATGTCCCAAGGTGGACAGTTTCCCAAAACACTAGCAAGGATCTTAAGGAAGACAGCCCTTTTTCTACCCAGTCAGTGCTTGCTTTTTTTTCTTCCCCATACATTGGAATCTGCATAGCCTCACGGGCCCCATCATGGGATGCTCCGTGCATGCCCCGGAGCTTCCTGCAGAGCACTTCACAAGTCATTCTGCAGGTTTCTGTCCACCGATCAGGCCATTGTTCCCTGAGCAAGAGAATTGATTGCTCTGATTGTGGGAGCGTGGGTGGGGTCTTGTTTACATGGCTTATCTACAGTGGATGGTTTTACTGGGTACACACATCATTGTACCTGGGAAGAACAATATAGGTTGGGTAAGGCTTATCACCCTGAGGCTAATCCAGAGCCAGTATTCTTAGGCAGACATCAATTCCTGCTCTGTGCTGGCACAGATGTTTTTGTGGCTGTGCTATGGAACCAACCCGGGGAACTGATCCAGCTTGAAAGTAACGGGGTCAGAAAGGGGAAAAGAAGTGAACTTGGATACTGCCCAGCTGCTTGTTGCTGGTATTTAGAGAAAGGATGGTGAGGTTGGGAATGAGCAGCCATGACTGAGGTTAAAGTACGACTGCTTCTTTAGGGATTGATGCTTGCTTAAAATGTTACTCAGACTAAAATATTACTTGAGATTCCACCCCACGGTTATTATGCACGAACTAGTGACATGCCTCTTGCTCTATGTCTGCTTTTCATGATGGGTGACTTATAAAATTACTGGTAAAAAATTGCAGTTTTGTTTTAAGACTGTATTAATTTACTGAACATTTTGCATGGCCCCTGAAGTATTTCAACTTTTAGAGTGAATGTGTCAGAGCAGAGAGTGCAAGAGAAGAAAAAGGAAAGAAATGAGAACAAAAGTGAAGTACAAAGGGATACAGAAACCAATGAGACTTAGCTGGGCCTGACTTAGCATGGATTGGTGTTAAGTGGAACACACCTAGATGACTGGACTGGTGAACTGCAGAAGGTAAATAACCCTCTTGCGGGGTGAAAAGTTTATAGGGTAGGTTCAGGGAGAAGAAATTAAGAGCTTTTCTGCAAGCCCTCCCCCACTACTCCAAATGGGACAGTGTCCCTGCTTGCCTTCAGTGCACCTGTTCCTAGTGTGGATGGTTGGTTCAGTGTGCTCCTGACAGAATCCAGGCACTGATTTATGCCCTCCTTTGCTTACTCGTCTCCAGCATCCAGGCCAAGGAAGTGGGGCCCTGTCTGGGATCTATAGAAAGATATGACCGGGCAGGGAGAATAAATATAGTCCTTGATTTCATCTTCAGTGCTCACAAGCCAGCTTGTGGAACAGGGCAGGCTCGATGTGGAGCTGGCCCTGCGTCTGAAGGAATGGTTATTTATCCACCCTGTGACCGACTTGCTCAGAGCTCTCTTCACCAAGGGGTAAGGCGTTACAGCTGTATAAGCCCCTTTCCCCCTGACAAAACCGGGACCATTTCGCTGTTTCTCACTGAAGAGTGGCTCACGTGGTACTACTGTTATGGGCAAAGATGTTCCAGGTCTCAGAATCCCTTCTATGTGCAATTTATATGCTTCTCATCTTTTGTGAGACAACCCGTTGTCAGTTCAAAGTTGGCAGGTTTTAGCTGAAGTGTACTGAGGCAATATGAAGAATTCGTGGTGTTTTTCTTAAATGCACTTAAAATTGTACAGAAAGGTGTGTTTCAGCCTCTACACAGGCCTAATGCTCATGTTTCCATGCCTCTTCAAAGTCTGCTTGTTTACAGTTCTTTAGACAACACTCAGCTGATTGCTGAGTGAGCAGGATTCCATCTTCACATCAAAGTCAGCCAAGCTGTTCTCTGTGCACTGATAATCTGTGTCTCCTTTGCTGCCTTTCCTTTCATTATCTTTTTCCTTACTAGACATGTTCCATTTCTGCATGGAGGAGCATCCTGACTGAGTAAGCTCATGCCACAGCCTGCTCTGGGTGCAAGCCCTCACTGGCCTTTCCAGCAGGCTTTGCTGACCACCTGCTTAAGGCACAGGCAGCTGTCTCGTGTGATATGGAATGCTGTCCTTTCTGCTAATCATTGTGTTGACATTAGAAGCATTGAGTCTGGGACACTTTCTTCTCTGGTGACACTTCTGGTACCACTAAGGTCTTGAGAATAATTTTATGGGTGTTGCCTGCTAGAACACCGTGGGGGTACAGTATTACAAATCTGTAATTTATGTTTTGCAACAATGTTTTTCCGTGGGAGCAATCGTATCTGTAGCATATGTACTAAATAAACTGTCACAGAATTAGATGTTGGCTATCTCCTGGCATCCTCAGGACTGATGTAGAGAAAGGAGAGGGAAAAAGCTTAGTACGTTTGTGAGATTTGCATAGAGATGCTAAATAGACCAGGTCTCCCAAGGTTAGTGAGAGCAGAGAAATAAGAAATAGTAACTTTTAAAATGATACTTTTTTTGACGTTACAGGAGAGACAGTAAGATCTTTGAAAAAACTAATTCTTACCTTAGTTTTTAATTTTAAAAATAAAAATAAAGGTAATTAATTTAATTAAGGTAATTGCAATTAATTACCTTAGTTTTTAATTATTACCTTAGCTGTCCAGTGTTCCCTTACACTGCAGGAACACCTGGCTTGGAGCACCTTTTTGCAAGAGGGTCTAGAGTTGGTGGCAGTTTGTTAGATGGCTGTTCAGAAAGAGTCACTACTTTAGCAGCTGCTTTTCAAACAGCTCAGCCATTTCTGTGCTGAGCAGGGAGGGGCAGACAGCTGGGGGCAGTCATCCATCTCCCAGGCTGGTGCCATCTGTTTGTGAATTGCTGATAGGAAATACTTCAAGATGTCCAAAGCTTAGAGGCTGAATGATAGAAGAAGGACGGTCAACCATGTTACTAGTTAAAACTTGGAGCAGGCAGTGGACCACAAAGTCTTGCTTTTACAACATGACTTAAGATGGGATGAAAGGTCAGTCTGATGCTAAAAGCTACTAGGTCACAGATGGTCCCTCCCACCCCTGTTCTGAAATGACTAGGTAAATTTGCAGGATAATGCCTTTACTTAAAGGGGTAAGTTTCATTTCATGTTTCCCCAACCTCAAATAGTCACTAAAAGTAGAAAGGCAAAGCAAATGCATAAATCCGAAGAAGCATAAAACATGCTGCCTGTCCCAGTTCCCTTCTTCTTGAGGGGAGAGAGGAGCATGGATATTTAAAATATGGAAACCTTCAAGGTGACAGGCCTCAAATGCTTTCCTCTGTATTGTAGTTTAGCATCTTTCCTGATGGTGTTTCAATCAAAGCTGTTGAAACATGCTGAGAATGTGCTCAGTTGACACTGAACAGAATGTTTCAGGTAATTGCAAAATTTGTATTTCAGCTGTGATATCCCTCAGAGAGATACTTCTGAAGCTATTATCCCTTCCATTATTATGACCTAGTGAACTCTAGAACAGCCCTTTATCCCATGATTTTGGAAAAAAAAAAGGAATCTCGTATTTAAACACTAGAAGACAGACAAAACTTGGATTTGTGGACAACTGGTCAGGATGCAGACTTTGCCCTCCCCTCTGGTGGTAGGTGTAATGTTTTTGGAGTTGCTTAATAATGAGGTTTTCTTTCACTCAGTCATCTTTCAACTATGCTTTTGTGTGGCTCTCTGGTTCTTTGTTGTCTGACCAGACAAAGACAGACTTCTGGAGACATTAGCAGTGGGTTAAACTTCTGCTGGAGTTTGTCATGCTTTTCCTTCCATCTTCTTTGTAAGCCAAGTTTATGGTTCTTTGTGTTAATTATGTCAATTTAACTGGTGTTTTCTTCATGCAAGTGTAAAAAGAAATATTTTTGCATGAATTCCAAGCATTTCCTGAATATTGAGAAATTTGCCACTTTTGAAACACCACCCCACCAGGAATCTTCTTGCAGTTAATAGTACTGGCTGTGGCATCTTTCCTTAACATGCTTAGTATTGAACATAAATACAGTTGGCAATTTTATTGTGTACTACATGTTATCAAAATTATTGTGACTCTTTTGTGGGGCTTCATTCTATTGGTTCAAAATAGGGCACATATTTTTCCTGTCCCTTTTGATTTTTAGCAGTTTTCTAGTCCCATATATATCTGTCAGGCTTAAAACCAGGTGAGCTGTGTAGTACTACGTTTTTCCCA